ATATATATATATATATATATATATATATATATATATATATATATATACACAGTATTATTGCTTGTACAATTCAGAAATTCCGATTATGTTAAAGGTATGTGCCAAATTAGGGATTATGTTGGAAATTTTGTCACTTTTACAGCAAAACGAGAACTTTAACATTTGATATCTGTACATTTGACTTATTAACCACAGGACCTTCACTTTTTTATGAGTAAATTTTTCTACAGCAGCTTCTACATTAAAAGCATCATTCTGTAGCTTTTGTTTTCCACAAATGAACATTAAAACATCAAAAGTCTCACTGTCTTTGAAATTTATCTCAGATTGACAAACTCACCTAATAGTCCATTTTAATTCATATTTTTTAATTGTATTTGAACAAAGTCATAAACAGGTTTATTGTTTAAACACATGTTGTGGTGGTTTATTATAAATAATAGATAAACCAACTTTTGCTACTGTTCAGATTCAGTGAAATGTGTCTTCTGAACTGGTCTGAGCTAAAAGAGAACATCTGACTGAAACTCAGGGAACAATGGTCAGAAACATCTAAACCAGCAGTGTCATATAACTCATAGTGAGAGAGTATGTCTGAGAGCTTTTGTGTGCACGTACGTGCTCATCATTATGTAAAAAATAACAGCGTTTATCCTGAAAGGAGTTTGAATAACGTGTGCAGCACTTATAGTAAACTCTGCAGATGTAGGTCAATATGATGCTGAAAAATATCACAACACAAAAACCACACAGTCAAACAATTGTTAAAAATCACACCGGAGGTCTTTGTCCTTCACCTGAAACTTGTCTCATGTTTCAGGTGACAAAGCGCTGCAGTCAGGTTGTCATTTGGGGATTTCAGACACTTTGTGCTTCGTAGCGTGTCTTAGTCACTGAAGTGGTTTTGTGAGGTTTCTGGGAGGTGTTTGTGTGGCGAGGTTACCTTATACTGTTGCTTCAGAGAGGATCGAAACTCACGTTTATCAGCTTGATTTTGTTTTTAAATACAAGGTAAAATGCTACAAATATAATTCACATTCATAGACAAAGTCAAAGCATTTATCTGGATCATATCTAAATCTGAAATTTTTCCATTTCTAAAAGAGAACAAAGGCCTTTTTATATAACGCTCCAGATCATGGTCCTGTTGAAGTGGTACTGCCTCAACAAGTTCCCAACAAACTGATAGTTTAGAGTTGAGAAACTTCTGTGGAACTCTGCACAATGGCACCATATTGGCAGCAAAAAGGTCCTGGAAGGTGTTGAAACCCAGCTGCGGCCTTTTTGTGTGGAGTTTGTATGTTCTTTAGGTTAACTGAGGGTTTCCCAGAGGTTTGAGTGTGGACGTTTGTGTGTGTCTGTGTTGGCCTGTGATGGACTGGTGGCCTGTTCAGGGTGTCCTCGCCTCTTGCACAGTGACTGCTGGAGAAAGGCACTGACTTCAACTGAAAGTCCCTTAAAGTAAAAGACGCAAGGCAAGCCAAAGTGACTAGCTGCAGACTTCAAGCAGGAGCTCTGATATTCTCATCGACTGTAGTGCAAACCCTACTATTATTGAAAACATCCAAAAATATTTGAATGAATAAAAAAATAAATACAAATAAAAGCCTGATACTCTGTTATGATGAAGATGAACTGTTTGCAAAGCTGCTTCTTACAAACCAATATGTCTGGAAACAGTGCCACCTTGTGGAAGAAAATATACTGCAGCATGGTTCTTGAATGGAAAAGGTTCAAGGTGACTTTATTGTCATTCGCATCACATGTGGTACATGAGGTGGAAGGAAACTGGGTACTCAAGGTCCCAGTTACACCCAAAAATAGCAATAATATAAACTATAAAAAAATCAAACAATATACAAGGATCTAAAACAATATTATAATAAAATAAAACAAATCTAAACAATTTGAGACATTATATTCTGCAAGATCACTTCATGAACGAAATAAATAAATGGCTTCTTTCTCACAATGTTGACGACAAGAACGTTCTCTGCGAGCTTCAGAAAGATTGTTCCAGCAGTCTTTCTGAAGAAAGAAAGCAACAATAATGAGACATGAGTGGGTGGGAGTGCCTTTAGTAAGTCCCCAGCAAAAAACAACTGTATTAAGTGTAACCAGATGAATAATAAGAAAAATATGCAAAGTTCGGTACAGTTTGTACAAAATTATCTAAAAAAACGAATCAAGAGCTTCAGGCTGAACTAAAACAAATTTAAGCATCCCATTCCAAATGTTAAAGCATCGTAAACCTTCGACAGAAAGAAAGTCGCGAAGAAATAACACTTTTTCAATCAACACACTAACCCCTGAATCATGCAGTTAAACCATCTCTCTTGTATATTACACAAAACATGACATGTTGTTACAGTAAGAGTGCAAATTCATTCATTCATTCAACCTTTAGTTATACAGATGAATCCCATGAGACCTGAATTGTAACAAAGAGTGATGACAACAGTGGACAACGACAACAATAGACAATCATTAAGAATGCATTTATTTTTTCAACATGTGAAAATAAATTGGTAATTAAAAAGATAATTAAAAGGAAAAGTAGCAAAAAATCAGCTTGGTTGTAAATAACTCTAATTTAAAAAAAAAAAATTATGTAAACAATTTGCTGAGACTAGTTAAAACAATTTGTGTGTCTATTAAGTATGTAAGAGGCTTTTTAACTTTTTATTTTAATGAGCAAATAATCACTTTGCAGCTTAAAAACCACTTGACAAGGCAATGATATGTTACGTGCTTTTAACTAAGGCGTACAGTAAATGTTACGTTTTGAGGTCAAATCATCCCGAATATTAATTGAAACATGGTCAGATTTTAAGCTGGTTTTTGTCTCCAGTTTAATGATCGCTGTTTCAGAATTTGCCTTTGCAAGAAAATAAATGTATACTCTAAAACATCTTGTATCCCTCTCCAACAAGTTTTGGTAATTCCCACAGATTACGTCTTTAGGCGTTCTGTTTCTCCACTCTGCCCAAACATTCTGCTTTCAGAAAGCCTCAGCGACGCGATTTGGATCTTACCTTGGCTTCTTATAAATCAAACTTAAGTGCTGGGACATTTCAAAGCCGTTGTCACCGCCCCAAAAATAAACTCTTTCTGGGAAGCTGCTGTGGAGAACTTTGTTTATTTTTACAAAGTGCACAGCTGGCTGTCAGCCTGGATGAAGTGAATCACAAGTTCCAGCTTTGCTTTGTGTCAGCTCTCCTCCTCTTTGCTACTGTAGGAGTAATCGTTTACACGTTGCAAACACAGAAAAACGAAATGGTTTGTGTTTATTTGACTGGATTTACTGGTCCAATATTCCTGGAGCAAATACACCCATTTGGTTTTGCTTCAGTTGTGTTTAGTGTTTCGTCGTGTGGTGGCGTTGTGCTTTTCTAGCCAGAGTGAAATGGTAGGCCTGGGCCATGTCCACATTTAAACAAAACACCACTCCGCAAAGTCAGTTCACTGTGATCCAGTTTGTCTGAAACGTGGGTATCTGTTCTAAAAACGTTCACTATCAACGCAGCCGTGTGTTGATGTGGTCCAGATCTTGAATTTGGAACAGCTCAGTCTAATTCTGAGCCACAAATTTAATTACACTACTAAAACATGTAGCATCATCCAGCTGATGGATGACTTCTTCAGAAAAAAGAAGCAGCTGTTTGAAGAAAAGTTTTCATGCATGTGCTGGACTGCTTACAATTTAAAAACAAACAAGAAAAAAGTTATATTTCACACCATATTACCTGTTTTCCTCCACAGCAGTGCTGCTAAAATCAGTGCCTTCTGAGAATTTCTTCTGGTTTTTGTTTCTCCCGCTCCTTACAGATACTCTGTGTATTGCACGACTTTGGCTGCAGTCCCTGCGATGTGAAGATCGTCACTTGAAGGTATGCCAGGCTCTCCACGAAGAACTGGGCGTGCAGCATTTAGTTGCGACCGTCCAGATTTATAAAAAGTATTTTTGCAGGACCAGATTTAACCAGTTTGGTTTTAAACAAACAAACAGAAAATCAAATTCACAGTGAATTCAAATCTTTTTGCACTTTTCATCAAACAGTGTAAAAGAAATCTTGCACCTGCTCAACAAGGTAACATTACACATTACAACCCTGGGTACATATATATGTGCATTATGTCATTAGTACCCAGTAAGGACCAGATAAGTACAACATGAGAACTCAACAAGTATTTGGTTCGTACCCAGACAGTAACAAATACTCTGTACATAGCTTAAAAAACTTCATACTTACTAGTGCATGCACATACTAGATAAAAATTGGATAAGTACCTAGTTAAAGTAAGTACCAAGGTGACAATTCCTTCATAATACACCCCTGTCCCCTCATATACCAAATATGTACCTGTAAGCACATGGTAAGTATCAAAACAGTGCCAAGCAAGTACTTGGTAAATACCTGAAAAGTACCGCATAAGTACAGTAAATACCCAGTGCGAGCCAGGTTTGTACCCACTTTGTCCCCCTTACATACTGGATAAGTACTCGGTACATCACTTTTTGGATACTTATTGAAACATACCAGGTTTGTACCTGGTAAGTATTCTGTACATACACTACACATGTAAGTATACAGTGCATACCCATTAAGTACTTAGTATATGATATATGCAGTAAGTTGTAGCTGCTGTTTAGTAATTTCAGAGTTTAAATCTTTGTTTCAGAAACAGGTGGCTGTAAAAAATAAACTCATCAGAAGTTAGTAATTAAAGTCAGCTAGAGTTTCTTTTTAAAGGTTGCTTCTAACATTATGGCGCAGCAGCTTAAAGCGTTTTTGTTAATAAAGAGAGAATCGTACACACATTAACACTAACATTACACAACATTTAGGTTAATTTCTTTCTTTACTTGTCAACCTTAACTTGTGTTAAAAAAACATGTCCCACAGATAAGGATGAAGGATAAAAGATAGAAGTTTAAAAAAAGGATTTGCTTGTATATTCTGTGTTTACATTAAAAAAAAAAAAAAAATCTCAGTTAAAAACAAAACTGCATGATGACAGCGTCCATTATTAATTTAATTTTGCAGATTATAGAACTACAATGTGCTGCTTCGTTACTGACACCTATGAAAAATCCTGCAGTCTACATCCATCCATTGTTCCTGCTCCATTTAGTTGACCTTTAAGTGAAACCTTACAGTAAAATCTGACATTTATCTCTAAATTAAACGCTGAAGCTGAGCTATTATCTCATTTCAGATACTTTCCATGGCAGCTCATCAGTTTAAGTCAAGCGAATCAGGAAAGAGAAGAAAAACCCTGAAATCAGGAAACCCTGCCAGAATATGGAAGCATCTGAAATAAACTTTGGCAACAGGGGGAGGGGGCTGATGAAGACGGCTCATGTTTGAATCTTCCACAGAGGTTTTGTTGACTGTTGTGCAGAGAAGAGCTCATCAGTGTGAAGGGGAGAAATGTGAACACTTGGAGACGAGGAGCACCGTGGTGTATCTGCTCATTAGGCAGCCGACGCTGTAATCCAGCAAGCGAGCAGCTCTGCAATCAGGGGCCTATTCATTAGGATGGGGGGGCCCTCTTTCATCTGCAACCACTCCAAGCTGCCAGTCACAGAGTATTACAGGATGACAAAACAGGGTGGCTGAAACGCTCAGGGATGCTCGTGCCTAAAGGGATACGTTTCCTTCAGCGCTGGCATCTGAGAGGGAAAGAGATGTTGACGGTGTAGAGCTGGCAGGTGGCCCCAACTGCGTCAGCCTCATAATCATCTCTGTTCAGCAGGAAGACGGCTTTTGTTCTAAGATTTCACGAGGAGCGGCGTCGTTTCCCTGAGCAGGTTTCCTCCAGGACGGAACTGATTGGAAACGATTGATTAGAAAAAAAAACAAAAAAAAAACAAGAATCTAAAGACTTCAATACATAAAAACTAAGAACAAAAGAGATTGATCATCTTTTGAAAACTCTGAGCATAAATGAACCCTTGTATGATTATTCTGTGATTTTCCTCCTCCTCCATAAGCAACAGCAGATGTATTTCTCAAACACAAACAAAAAAAAAAAAGTTTGACTCCCTTATTTTACTTTATATGCAAATAAGATGTCATAAGGTAAATTACAACTCAAAATCTAAACCACCTATGTCTAAAAATGTATGACGTTTATTCTTTACAATATTTCCAGTTCTTTAAGTGAAAGATCCTGTTTAGTTTTTAGTAACGAGCTGGAGAGTGGCTCCATCTTACGATCGGTAACGCTTCTTAATTTGCTCTCTTTTTAAGTTATTTTCCCATGCAAGACCAAATAAAACTCCTAAAAAATGCACTGCCTTACGTGCTCCAAACACCTTTCACTGACTGTAAACTGAGCTCATCTTTCGTCCCCCAAAAAATCCAGCTTTAGTTTTTCCAAGATTTGTGAAGCTTTACAACAATAAAAAATCATATTGATTCATCTTAGATAATGTAGATCTAATAATGTACTTAAACACAAACCATCACATCCTTGAGTGCCATCAGTCAGTGTAGCATCTGCTGATAACCTGCCTCAAAAGAGCTCCTAAAAGCCGACAAACTACCCGATCGATGAAAACCTCTACAATCGTTTCCACAGTGGGACTGATTGTATTTCAGTTATGGGGTTTAAAATGGAGAAGATGAGCAGGTTTAGTGCAGAATATTGCTCTCAATTACAGGTTACTGCAGGAATTCGGCCTCTAAAAGGCAACCTTTAGATTTAGTCTCTGCAGGAAGAGTATCCTGGAATAATCTCACACACGCTCGCTCACACACACACACACATAAAACACTCTCCTTCTAGCTCTTTACATCACCCTGATAACAGATCTGATACGTTTTATTAAACCATAGCAGTATTTACAATGTACAATCACTTGTTTTTTCATATCCAGACACATTTAAAAGTGCGTTTTTGAAAGGAAGTTCAGCTCTGAATAAATAAGAGTTCTCATTTTCTGACAACAGTACAACAACAAACAGTAAGGCTGCAAATGTACTTAACACTGACTCGAAATCAAATAAAAAATACTGAGGTTTGTTCTGCAGTAGTGCTACAACACTCGGGTTTTCTGTCTGAATGGTAGCTTAAGTTGCAGCAAATAAAATGAGCTGTATGTTAAAAAAAAATCCTGACCTGATTGCAATGCTTTATATTCTGCAAAAAAAGAAAAGGGCAAATTAAAGCAAAAGAGGTTTTTAACGCATCATTTAAAGACAAGACAGAACGTTAGCTCTTGCGTCACCACAGTCCATCACTCAAAACAAAAAATCCAACTGAAAATATGAGGTCCTGATGCTGCTGACTGCTGACGCAAAGTCCCACAGGATTCTTTCTTTATGTCACGTGAGCGCTGACCAGCCGACCCAGCGTTTTAGCGGCTGATGGGAAGCTGCGGTAAAGAGATGGACGGATGGGTCAAGTGGCCCGGGGCGGCGAGGACCGAGAAGGGATGAGCTGCAAAACCCAGGAGAAACAACATAAAGCTACAGCTGTCAGGTGAAAAACAAGACTGTTAAAAACTCAGCATGCATCTGAAACAAGATTAGTGTTTCAAAACCCACATAATGTGTTCAATCTGTGCAACAAGCGAAACAATGAGACTTTAAATTCCTCAAAACAAAACCCAAGATCTACAGAATAATTCCACTTTCGGAGCCAGGAAATAAGAAGATAACTTCTGATGTAGCAGAACTAAAGAAAACGAAAAGGAGAATCTCATCTCAGAGTAAAAAGGAACCAGTCAGAGAAATTAAAATTGATCTTTGAGTTATTGTGATGTTAAATTAAACATGAGCTGATCGGGTGAACCTGTGCGAGCTCAGTAAAGGACTAACCTAGACAATTAGGAGGCCCCAACAAAGACTTTGCAGCACAGCTGAGACGTTTTCTTGGCTCTGAGAACAAACATTTTACTTTTTCTAAAAGTATAAAAAAGATCTAAACAATTTTTGTCAAAACCATATGTGTATTTATTGTTTATAATGGTTTTAAATGCTTATTATTTAACTTCCAAATGTTTCTAATTAGTCTTCTCCTATTTCACTGCCTTGTTACAAAATCCAACAAGGCTATGCAGATATGTACATCTGGTGATAAAAAAAAAAAACACTCAATTGATCAATAAATAAATCCATTTAGTTTCTAATTAAAATGAGGCCTAACAAAAATTAAATATTAAATAAGTTTATACAAGTAAAACCTAATAAAAAGGGGATATTTAAATTACTTTACTGTGTTTCATCATATTTATTTCTGATTGCTAAAAATGAGAGGTTGTCTGAGTGTTGTCTGTTAGCAAAATATCTTAAAATCCAGTGGATTTTGCAAAATATGGCAGAGTCCCTCTTTGGGATTTGCCTGGGTGAATAGAGATTAATAACTTAACTAATAAATAAATGGATGCATATGGTCGCCACAGACAACCAACCTTAATAACACAACAATGGCTCAGTTTGTTTTACTGATATTGAACGTAACCTGGTGTGGTAGTAGCTGAAGGTCATCCTAAATACAAACTTGAAGGCCCAACAGATCACACCAGGTCTCACAGTATGAGATCGTGCAGAACATCTTGTACAAGTTTCGACCTAAACAACGTCTTCTCAGCATAAACAGATTATGGTTTAAATCTCTGGCATGAACATTTTTTTAATATAAAGTATAGGTTATTACATAATTAACATTTTGTTGTTACAGCTGTACAGACAGTTTTGTGTTGATATAAAACATTGCATCACATCCTTGTTTTTGTAACAAAAATCTATTTGTAAAATAACTGCATGGCTCAGAACAGCTCAACCTCACAGACAGTTTATGTTTCTACATTAAATGAATAATTTTATTAATGGTTCTTAAATTTTCTCATGAGTTCTGCTCTTAATGCAAATACAATTCCAAATCTTGACTCGATTTGCTTTTAGAAAGATAAAAAAACAGAAACTTCCATGAGATGACTGAATAAAAACTCTGAACCTGAAATTAATTTGTTCATTTGTTCACAATGATTAAACAGCCTCCATGAACTAAAGCAGATTTGTGTCACAGGAAAGAAACTCACTGTCCAGGTATCCATGCAGGGTGAGGAGGTGCGGTCGATCCGGGCTGCTGAACGAGGAATAGTGAAGATCTTCTGGCAGCGACGGCGGCATCCTGGACATCGGAGCGCTCTGAGGGAAGCTGCTCTGAGGCGGCTGCTTTTTGTGTCGGGCTCTGCAGTTCTGAAACCAAACCTGAAGAAAAACACAGGAACTGTGATGGTTCCCCTCCTTAGACCCACTTACTCATTAGTCCATTTAGGTCAGACACGAAGTGGGATAATTACAAGTAATTAAAGGTGCTTGGATTTAATCGTCTTTATGTAAATGTAAGCAGTTTCAAACATCATGAAAATAACATGCAATAAGAATGAACACAGGTCAATCATTACAAACAAGCTCTAGAATCAACTTTAAATATCCCAGTGGAACCATTTCTGGCATTTACACGAGAATGGTGCTTCTATAAAAACAGAAAAAATAAAGGTGTTGGTGTGAAACCAAATTTTCTGGCGTGCATAACTTTAAAACAAATAAGTTACTTGTTTCTAGTCTAATTTATGAACTGATTTTATGTTTGAAATGCCAAAAACCTAGCAAATAAAAAGGTTGGGAGATGTATAAAGATGTAAAGTTATGAGGTTAGAATATGATTTTTTTTTTGGTACCACTTTACAATAACACTCCTCTTATAATAAATAGTTTATGGATATGTTATTAAATCCTACATAAACACTTTATAAATCATTAATAATTGTTTATTCTGCATTAATTAAGGGTGACAGAGAGACAAAACTAACCAGTTTCTTGCCAAATAATGAGCCAGATCACATTTCATCTAGAGTTGTTATATTAAACATTTCAGACTAAGTTACTACCTTGTAAGCACAATAAGCATTTGTAAACCTAATTTTTTCAGGATATAATATTAGTTGTAGATACTTACAATGCAGTGATAAAGTACAAAATTATATGCAAAAGAAATAGGTTTAGAAATGCTTATTTTGCTTACAAGGTAGTAACTTAGTCTGTTTAATATAACAACTCTAGATGAAATAGGTGAACAGATTTGTCTCTGTCACCCTTAATTAATGCATAATAAGCAGATATTAATGATTTATAAAGTGTTTAGAGGAATTAATAACATATCCATACACTTCTTTAATGCCCCACCTGTATGACTCGTCTGCTCAGTCCCGTCATCTCTGCCAGTTTCTGCAGCGTCTGAGCGTCAGGGTTGTTGTCCTGAGCAAACTGGGTCTGCATGACCTGCCAGGATAAAAACACTTGCGTTACACAACTGCACTGCACGCACACACACATACACACACACACACACACACACATGCACATACCTGCAGCTGCTCAGCGGTGAACGACGTCCTCGCCCTCTTGGCTGGTTTTGGTTGGCAGTCCTGATCAGACGGCAGCGCTCCCTCCAGAGTCAGACCTGTACCTGAACACGAATTCACATCCTCTCATCAGACTGCAGGTTATCCATAACATCAATATAAAATATCTATCGTTAGCCACAAATTAGTGTAAGCAAACAGGGTCCAAACGAACCACAGATGGTTTCTCTCCAACAAATACAGTTTAAAGTTTTTAAACTAAAGAGGGAAACAATTTTCTTTACTTATAGAAACACCACAAAGTGAGGAAAGAAGGCAAGAAAGAAAAATTAGCTCGATATATTTGTGTATTAATCTTTTTTTACAGCTGTATTTTGTAAATCCCTTTAAATTAATGCTGTAATATATATATATATATATATATATA